ATATAGCCGTGTCACTGTTATCTTCGATTGAGATTGTTGCATTTTATACATCGTTCGTGACAGACGATTCTGTAACATGAAACAGAATTGATGAAGCGATGAAAGAGTGGACGCATGAAACGGTAATATCGATGATGCCGGAGATGTAAACAGGAAACATTCCTTTTCTAACGATTTTTGTCGCGCTAGTGAATCTTTTGAAATCACATGATTACTTGATGCCAAAATTTTCTAATAAAAAACAAATTAAAGTAATTTTTTTATTGCTCTACATCCTATTAATACTAAAAATATCTATGTAAAAATTCTTATTAAAAAAATATATATATAATATGCTATTGAAACATCAACAATTTCATAATTAAATACTTTAAATAAAAAAATTAATAATTTAATTTGCAACAATTCATTAAATAAAATTAATCTAATTGTAAGTTTAGTATACAAAATAATACATCCAAGATATATTTTATCCAAGTTATAACGCGTTAATTTAAAATTATATATAAAAATATCTATATATACATGATGTAAAATCTCTCGTTATAATTGATCAATGAAGAATAATTATTAACGCGAACACTGTAGTATATGTTATACTGGTAAATACGTGCATACAAATTTTGCTTGCTGACGGGATGGATCTCTCCCTTATCAGGAGATAAAAGCTCATGATAAGAACATTACTATTAGCATAAACACTGTAAGCTGTTGGAGGGAGACGCGTGCTTATCACGCATCGTTGAATCTCGTCGGTACGACAAACCCCGTAACGCATCCTATCGCATCTTATACATTACGCGTGAGGATGGATGTTTCAGAAAATGAGTATCTAGAAATAACATCAGATTTCATTGTCTTGATGAAAACATCGTTTTTTAAGTGGTACAAGCAAGATAGTACAATATAAAAGCAAATATTTTTTTTATTTTTTTGAAAATTTTACCATATTTTTCAAATAAAGAAATTATTATTATCAAAATCCTTGTAGAGAAAGAAAATTCATAAAAATTTTCTTTGAATCTGGAAAAGCAAAGAGCAAGTTATTTGAAATGTTGTAAAAGATGAAAAGAGCGTAATAGTTATTAACTAAGAAACATCCCTCTAAAAAATTTCGTAAGGTACAAATGATTAAAAAATCTCGAAGAAAAAGTTCTCTTGATTTTCGCAAAGTCAATTTTAAACTTTTTGAAATATTTTGAAATCTGAACAAGAGGTTTTTTCACGAAAACTGTCATCGCCTTTGCTTCGATCTGGCAACCGAATCTTATGTCATCTTAATATAGACGATGGCACCGTACGCAAAATAAGATCGTTCATCATCAGTAAAGACTAACGCAGCGACATGAGGGGAAAGAAAAAGAAAATAGAGTGAGAAATAGAGGACAAAAAATGGTTTCCAACGTTGCTCCACAGCCCACGTTTCTCCCTATTTTTCATCGTCCGACCTCGACGATGCTCTCCCGACCGTTCTTTCATTTACGCCAGAGAAACAAGAGGCAAGAGAGACTCCCTCATTCTCTCTCTCTCTCTCTCTCTCTCTCTCTCTCTCTCTATTCTCTCATCTCACCCTCTTTCTCCTCATCCTCGCTTTCTATTTCCTTTCGTCAATTTCTCACGTTTTCTCTCTGGCATTAATATACCGACGACTGGATTAAACACGTTTACGGTTTATCTTCTTCTTGCAATGCGTTTAGACATGCTCACATGTATTAGCCCTGCCCTAGGTAGAATGAAAGACTCATTTACTAAGAAGTTTTATCTCTTTTTCTCGCCACATATCAACTCTCGAATCCGAGAGAGCGATCTTAACAAAATATATTATGATAAAAATATAGCGAGAAAGTTATGCGCAAGAATTGCACGACATTTGCTCGTTTTATCATGGAAATTTAACTTTCAAATGTGGAAAATCGAATTGATTTGAATTCGCTGATGGAGAATTTTGTCTAAATAATGCAAAATGCTAAACTTACACTTTGAATGTTTCGTGAAAGAAGTTCCCTGGTATGATAAAAATCGTGCAAAAAGCATTTATAACGAACAAATTTATGAAAACCCGACTCGAAATTTTTCTCCTGCTTTCGATTACAATTTTCTATCTAGCATCTCTTCTTTGATACTTTAAACAGTCAAATCACTCTCTTTCCAAACTATTTAATCTATAGTTTTGCCGAAAGTTCCTCTTTTAAACCTGTAAATAAGAAATTATTTGTTTATTGCTTATCTGATTGTGAGATATCTATAAAGTAGAGAAGTTCAATTTATATATAAATTAAACCTATCAAAAATCTTCTAAAATCCATAAATATAAGAAAATTGAAATCGAAAATAGAAGCAAAATTTTAATTTCACAAAAAATTCACAAGAACTTTACTCTCAGAAAACGAATGGAGGCGGCGCGCGCGCGCAACACTCAAGAGAATATAACTATACATATAGCTCGATTGCAGCAAATATAGGCAAAACTAGGTCGGCTGGAATGTGCAATGAAACGCGGAAGAATGAATGTATTCACGTCGATTAAAATTTTTTAACATAATACCTAGATCGTATTTAGACGCTATGGAAAACTTCAATTAACTCCGATGAATCGTCTTTCGCATCATCAATTTATTTTCTACTGTTTAAAGTATACAGTTTTTATATTCGTTATGATTGATTTTTTTGCTGAATAAAATCTTTCTATTCGTCAAATTTTAATTAATTTATTTATCACCGACATATGTACACTATCTATTTTATTATATTAATTGGAATGCCGCAGTAATCAAAGACTTAGATAAAAAAAAAAATACATACTACGAGCATCGATGTAACTAGAAATGGTAAGCTAAATGATTCCCAGGGGGAAAAATTGGCACAAATGGTCATAGCAATTTCCCGTATAAAATGCATAAAAAGAGCAAAACTGCGACCTCACTCGCGTTATACGGGAGTCACCGTTTACATTGAATTGCATCCGGCGCGTTCGTGAAAATTCGACCACATATATACAGCCTTTTCCTATTTCCGTTTACCACTTCTCCTAAGTAAAGCGTTGCCATATGTTTTATTAAAAGTGAAGATAACTTCTGTGATTATATATTCATTAACCGTGACATTAGCCATGATCTTTTTTACCCAAATTACGAAAGGAACTGTCTAAAATAATTATGATCGACAATGACGCGCTTAAAGCGCATCTTAGAATAAGATAATACAAATTAAATAAATAGAATCATAAAATCTAATTACATAATGTAACAATGCAAAAAATGAGAGTATTGATTTGTTATGATAGTTCAAATATTGCGTAAAACGTCGATGACAAAAATCCGATATACGTTATTTACCATTGGCAAAGAGACAAATAAAATTGTTCAAGACTTTGCAATAATCTGCAAAAATATAAAAAAATACATGTAGAATATTAGTTTTGATATATATAAAATATCGTAAGCAATGCGTAAAACTTTAAAAAGAGAAAACAGTTCAATGTTTTTTATAAATATATATGTTAAAACGCTGTCTTGTAGAATATTGAATCTACACGATATTTTAAATGCGATAAAATATACGCGAAATATTTTTTAAAGTTCACATCATATTCTAATGAGACTTTGCTTTAAATAATGCAAAGGCAAGTTATCACACACAGTCAACATGGATGAACGGATTCTAGAAAATTAGAATTAAATAAATACATTATAAAAATAAGTTATTATAATTATATAATTATTTTAAAGAATATATAATCACACAAAAAATTAATAATCATTAGTATCGTTAATTAAAAAATAAAGTAAAATATACTGTGTATTATAAAAAAATGTCCTATTCTTTTTTAAAGGATGAAATATTCATTCTAATCTGTTGTAATCCATTCATCCATTTTGAGGTAACGGAACTAACTACAGTCTACAGACTATCTAAAATCCAAATCTACAATCAACTCATTACAAAACCGTTACCTCGTAATAAAATGAAATTCGTATCACTCACCACCCGATACGCAGCAGCGGAGTTGACTGCATCGAAGCTTCGTAGATCTATAACAAACAAATACAATACAAATCAATAATCGAAATTATAGCGATTATATCGAATTATATAATTGTTGTACAATTATTATTGTACCCTTTGATCTTATATTCCAAGCATACAATACTAAACAGAAATGTATTTAAATAATTTTATAAATTTTGATTCAATCCAATTAATTAATAAATAATAAATATTCACCTCCGGGTTGCTCCGCTGGCGCCCGATGCCTCTCCCAGACCTCCTCCTCCTCTCAGGTTGACTAGATCGTTAGTTTTCTCTACATTAATCTGCAACACATAAATGAAATCCGACTTATAGCAGTGTGCCTAAAATAATTAATATTTCCAAGAATTCTGATTATTGTACGCATTGAAAATTTTATTTTTGATACGCGCGCAGAGCATACAACAAATATAAAATTATATAATTTTATAATTTTTTTTTTTTTTGTTTTGATACAATTCATAATTTTCTGATTTAATATAACTAATAAACAAATAATGAATTCTCACCTCTGGCTTGCTCCGCTGGCGCCCGATGCCTCTCCTAGACCTCCTCCTCCTCTCAGAATAGTCAGAATTGTCCGTCGTCAGAGTCAGTTGATTTACACGCGCGATATTTTGAACGACACTCCCGCACTAAAACGCGCGACACTTTACGCGGCAAATTTTCCGAATTTCGCGATCGCGAAATATCCCATTTTGCGCGAGAATCATACGACGAGCCAACAACTCGAGAATTCAACGTTACCTTCGAGCAAGGGTTAAGCCCAAAACGGGAGAAGATTGATTCGATCGTATGAAATCTACGAAAATAAGGTTCGCTCGACTCTTGTCCGCGCATGTTCGCATCTCAAGTTGATTTGAATTTGATTAGGTACGATTTCAGTTGAGACACCAGGGTGCTATACCACAGGCGATATCAAAAGGCAGGGCAGACGCTTCGAGAATGAGGATCCCCATTTACTAAGCGCCAACAATCTATACAACTTAAAAAATGGGAGGTCAACCTCTCTAGCGAGCGAAAATCGGGCCTAATTAATCCAGTCAACTCTCAATGCGATACTTATTTTGCTGACGGTACAAGAGAAGGGACTCATTAGCGACGATTACATGACGATCGACTCAACTCCAACCGATTCGGGTCGAACCATTTGTCGAAGCAGAGCGTGACCTCAATCAGCCGATATTTGAGCCTAAGCTCAAAACCGCACAATCCATGTACGTACGTACATGAACATACGTACGCGGCCGACATCACCTCGTGCCGCGACACAAGAGGCATGAGAACGTTGCATACGCAACGTGTCTCAATGAGACATCCCACTTAGTCGGCATCGGTGGTACGATATTCTCGTTGACAATTACAAAATTGGGATATCACGCGATGATGCAACAAACCTTCGACGCGCGACACTTTGCACGATATTCTCGCAGTTAAACGCGCGATACTTTACACGATACTCCCGCATTTTGACACGCGACACTTTGCACGACGCACCCGAACTTAAACGCACGGTTTGCACGATATTCTAACGTGTCTTATATTTTTGAATTGCCGGAATCAATCTGTTCAATAGTTTATCACACCAGTTTATCGAGTTCATTGTACTGTGCCAGACACGGATGACGATGCCTTCTTCCACGTCTTCTTCGACGACGTCTTCATTAGTAGTGATGCTTCATTAATTATTAATTTTCTAGTATTAACAATATTTTTTCTTCCCCCCTATTTAAAAACCCCTTTAATGAATATTAATTGAAATGAATATTAATATTACCGAATTACAGTTAATTCAAAAGAAATTTTATACGCTTTTTGTTACGCGAGAATTCGATATCTCTGCTCTATCAATCTTCGTGTGTTGTTAATCCGAAACTTATTTACAATTAATGCGGCTTGTCGTGCTATTTTCGCCGAAATACGTAACAGTGTAACCGGGCAATTTCAGAAATTTAAAAAAAAAATATAATTTGGAGCGTATAATCCGGACTATAGAAAGTCTAACATATTATTGTAAATTCTTTTGCAAATTTTAAATTATTACCTCTTTTGTTTTTCTTTTAGTCGCGATAAAATACTCGCAAAATATCGTTTAGCACATATATGTTACTTTACAATATATCGCTCTAATTAGTGTAGAACCAAGTTATCAATTCATATGAATCGGATTACAAAAAATTAGAATTAAATGTATATATATAACATTAAATTATTAATGATTATATAATAATTTAAAGAATTTATAATCATACACGCAATTAATGATTATTAGTATGTTTATAAAATAAATTAGTTTAAATCTATTATAAAATGTTTCCTGTTTATTTTAAAGTGAAATATTAGTCTAATCTATTGTAATCCAATTTATCCATTTAGAGGTAATGGAACTAACTACAATCTACAGTCTATCTAAAATCCAAAATCTACAATCAACTCACTACAAAACCATTACCTCGTAATAAAATGTAATTCATATCACTCACCACCCGATGCGCAGCAGCGGAGTTGACTGCATCCAAGCTACGTTGATCTGTAACATGCAAATAAAATATAAATTGTAGCAGCGCCTGAAATAAGTAATATCTCAAAAAATTATTGTTATACGCATTGAGTTTTATTTTTCATACGTACAATAATAAACAAAAACATAATCATATAATTTTTTAAATTTTGAATTAATACATTTAACAAATTTTTATTTAATACAACCAATAAATTTTGATTGAGAACACAATTACAATTTAGTATATAAATAATACATTCTCACCCCAAGGTTGCTCCGCCGTCGCCCAATGCCTTTCCCAGACCTGTTCGTCCTCTTAGGTTGTCAGAGGCGTTGACAGAATTCTATGTTGATCTGTAACATGTTAATGAAATCCAAATTGTAGCAGCGCTTAAAATAGTTCCAGAAAATAAATATTAAATTTGGTATTCGATACGTACAATATTCAGCAGATATATAATCATATAATTTTCTATAATTTTATATTATGTAACTAATAAATAAATAGTAAATACTCACTCCAATGTTGCTTGTTCGGCGTTCAATGCCTCTGCTTGACCTCCTCCTCCTCTCAGATTGACAGCACCATCAGCTACATTCATCTGTAACATACAAATTAAATCTAAATTGTATCAGCCTAAAATAATTAATATTTTAAAACATTATTGTATGCATTGAATCTTATATTTAATGAGTACAATCTTAAGCAAAAGCATAAAGTCATATATTCGATCTATATAAATATTTTTTACGGACTAAATAACCAAATTAGTATAAATAATGTATAAATAAAAATAATGTCCAATTTATAAATTATTTCTATACAGTGTTAATCTGTAAAATATATAAATTTATCTTTTTAATCTAATTTAAAACAAGTGTCCAAACTACATCTCAAAATGTAATTACAGCATGCATTAAAATTTTCTTTTTATTAAATTGTTTCAAATAATAATAATATATACATAAAAAATAATAAATTATTCACTTTATGGTTATTTCACCGTCACTTGAATCCGCTCCGGATCTTCTCCTTCTCCTTTTTTATTTCACTATTATCGCTCTTTCGTGATACTCTCTGGAAAAAAACTAATTAATTACAATTACGCGCACATTAATCACACCCGAATATAATTAATGAGCGGTACTTTTGCACAACATTTTAATGGCTGGGG